CAGTCAGGACACCCCTACTCTTACTGACAGTGTCCTGGGATCTGTACCAATCAGCACTCAGGACACCAGGGTCAACACTCTTTTCTTATTGACGATGTCCTGGAATCTGAGATGACCAGAAGATGGGACACTAGAAACTTTCTTTGTTCGAAGGCCTTTGTTAGTGAGCACGATTTTGGGTGTCCTTACTAACCATTTCTTGCAATAAGCAAGTCAGTACCACTGTACAGTGAAACATGTTTATTAAATCAAAGGAGCTTGTTCGGATATTTAATTGCTTTTCTCCAATATTATGTAAGTAACATGTTGTAAATTACCATCAGGATAATTAATCACAACAGTTTTCTTTAACACATAACTGAAATTTTGGTACATTATGGAATTAACAGTACTGTACTAATACATACTGCAACCTTGTGACTGGTGTTATGTAATTATTATTGAAAATGCACAGTTGAAATTATACCCTGTAGTCTAGTTCATTTTGTTTGTGGTTTGCTGGATGCTAGAGAAAGGAAATGTCTAGCCTGCTCTGTGCTTTGAAGTACTAATTAACTGTGTTTCCTGCCCAACCAGAGGAAGGAAATTTGTACTGTGCAGAAGGTGGCTCATTGCACGAGGTAGTGATTATCTTTTGATTATTGAAGCCAGTCAAAATTTTACAGTATATCTCAGATCAAGGCTTTCCACTGATCAGCTCCATTGCATTTCAGCTGTATAACCCAGTGCCCACGTGTTTTATACCTATCTAGCTTTGGCCTCCCAAGAAGACCTCTAAATCGAAATATTTTTATCACTTTCTTTTTTACTTTTGTTTTTTAAAGGCCAGCAGCCATACCACCCTGTGGTCCCCAACTGGCTACCCACAGAAGCTAAGCAGGGTTGAGCCTGGTCAGTACCTGGATGGGAGACTCCTGGGAAATTTAAGGCTGCTGCTGGAAGAGGTTTTAGTGGGACCAGCAGGGAGCGCTCACCATGTGGTCTAATGCCCCGGTATAGTGACGGGACATTTCTTGATAAGAGCAGGGAGTTATCCTGGTGTTAGGACCACATTTCCCCCTTGGCTTTTACTGCGGCCTTCAAATTGTCCCCATGTATGATTGGCTGGCACTTGTCCTGTGATGGACTGGTACCTGTCAAAGGTGTACCCTGCCTTGCGCTCATTGCTTGCCAAGATAGGCTCTGGCTCTTCCTACGACCCTGCAGGGGAAAATGGATGGATAGATTAACATACCAAGGTAACCAGAAAAAAAGATTTGCCAGCCACCTCAAAACCTCAAGTATTATAAATATAAATAAGTATTAAGTCTGTTATGTATCATTCTTTTGCAGAGGGTATAATGCATAAAGTCATTCTCATTAAGTTCTAGACATAATCCACCTCTCCTAGTATCTCTCAAAAATGTCCTTCTGGAGTCTTAACTGAAAGGTTCATTTTTCCATTTCATAAATCTCTGAAACAATAACAATCCAATTTTCTTTAGGTGGGGGGGTCTCTTTGTAACCATTTACGTGTTATAGCTTTCTTACTTGCTGCCAAGAATACTTTTAGCATGTACTGTATTTTATCTCTTTCCACAACCTCATCAGGCAGATTACCCAGATACAGAACTGAACAAGACTTTGGAGTTTCTAAACGGAATATATCTTGAATCAGAGACCACACGTCTTCCCAATAAGATTGACTTCTTGGACATTGCCAAAATACATGGGAATGCCCTGTGTCTCTATTACCACAATCTCTCCAACATGGTTGTGGCAAACCAAGCCGTGATTATTTCATTTTTGGGGTTATGAAGGATCGAGTTAAATTTTTCCAGCAAAATTCCCTGATCTGTTTTTCCAATTTGAAATTTTTAATACTTTTAAACCAAATTATTTATGTAAATGCAGGTAAGGAATCTAATTAAACATATTGAAATCTGGTTTCGGTCACCAATAATATATTGGACAAAAGAAACTGAGGAAGCAAAAGCATTACTAGATTGAAATGCTCCTGTTTTCTGTTCGCTACCGGGGCGCACACAACACTCTTGACATATCATCATATTGAGTTGCCCCCCGGAGTCGTTGTCAGAGCACCACCTTACCACATCCCAGAGGCTAAATGTTCGGAGGCACACCAGGAGGTGGAAAAGATGCTGGATCGAGATGTCAGAGGACAACAGCCCCTGGTCCAGCCCCATTGTCTAGTGCCTGTCATGCCCTCCACATCTAGAGGGCGTTCCTGCTCTGTCCTGTTCCTAGTTTCCCTGTGTTTTACATGTTCTTCCGTTGTGTCTTGTTGTCTTGGGCTTTATATTTTCAGGTCTCCCTAGCCTCCTCGCTCGGTATCGGGATCAGCTGTTGAAAGGCTCGCCTCACCAGGTCGCCCCACTTCTGCTACCTGAGGGCTCATGTCTCGTTTCGACTCCACCCATTACCTTTAGCCCGGACCGAACCCTCTCGTTCACTCCTCTGCTTCCGCTCCGCATAGGGTCCTACTGCCTTGCCGGTCTCTCTCCACGGCTAGCCCCCAGCTTCCGTGATGGAATGCCGAGCCTGCACTGGACCTGGCCACCCTGGCTTCTGTTCCTTGTCTCCCTTTTCTTCTTTCCTGGCTTTTGTTTTTCTGGCCTACCCGACTTCTGGTTCCTTGTCTCCCTGGTTTTGTTCTTGTTGCTCGTCCCCCTGTTCTGTCAGGGTTAATTTTTGTGTGTGATTTTTTTTTTATTTTCCATGTTTTGTCCGCCCAGGCTCCCACGCCTGCTGTCTCCCCGTCCCAGCTCCCACGCCTGCTGTCTCCCTGGTCTGGGCTTCCCCTGGTCTCCCGATTTTTTTGTGTGTGTCATTTTTATGTGTTGTGTTTGTTCCCCTGTTTCGTCAGGGCTTATCTTTTGTTGTGCGCGCTTTGTTTCTGTACGTGTTTTGTCTGTTGTTTTTTTTGTCTCGCTCCCCCGGAGCCCTACCCGGTCCCCCCTTACTCTACTCAATTAAGGTTTTTACCCCAGAGGAGGGGGTAGCTCTCAGCTTTGGACTCCCAGAGGTTTCCTTTCAGTTAAATTAGGTTTTTCCTCCCCCCAGTGCTGTGCAGCTCATTTATTTTGGGTGTCAGGAGCCGTCCTTGAAGGGAGGGGCACTGTCACGCCCTCCACATCTAGAAGGTGCTCAGGCTCTGTCCTGTTCCTAGTTTCCCTGTGCTTTACTTGTTCTTCTGGTATGTCTTGTGTCTGGGGCTTTATAGTTACAGGTCTCCCTAGCCTCCTCGCTCGGCATTGGGATCGGTGGTCGAGAGGCCCGCCTCACCAGGTCGCCCCATGTCCACTACCTGAGGGCTCATGTCTCGTTCCCACTCCACCCATTACCTTGAGCCCGGATGAACCCTCTCGTTTGCTCTGTTCCTACCGCCACGCATAGGTCCTCATAGGTCCTCCCATCTCGCCGGTCTCTCTCCATGGCTAGTCCCTTCCGTGACAGTGCCGAAACTGGACAGAAACTGGAGGTTTTGCAACAGCTTCAGGAAGCTCAGTGAGGTGTCTCGATTGGTTAGTGAAAACTAACAAAGTAAAACACGGCTGTTTGGATGCAGAGCAATTTTCTGGGAAATCAGATGAGACAGCTTTATTGTATAGGAACAAGTAAAGGTCTATTCCATGCTGAAAATAGAACAAAAGGAAACACATCGTTTCGGCTGTGGAACCTTTTTCAGGTGTACACCCTGTGTTTTCTCTCTTCTCTTTTCAGAAGGGAATGAACCTGTTACTTGTTCCTTTGCAGCCTACGCATGCCGACGCAGCTCCCCACCTTATTGTATAGTGTATAGTTCTCTCACAAAATAAGACTTGAAGCCTTCACAACAATTTCATTTTACTTTGTTTCTGCATTAATCACTGGAAACAGCGATTTCTCTCGTTTTTTCGAACTTCTTTAAAAAACACCCAATTATAGTTAAAATAAGCTTAGAAACATAAGGAACAGTAACAGTTAATCATCTTCTGAAAGGAAAAACACATTATTTCCTGTAAAGTAGCACTTTTCTTTTCAGGGGACAGTGTTGGCTGAATTCCTGTCTAAACAAACTTTTCAAATAAGGAATGTGGGTTTATTTGCCTTCAGGGAAACCTTTGCCTGTTTAAAGTTTCTTTTGTGTGTGCGGAGCAGAGATCTGGCTTCTACATGCACAGAACCTCAAGGCCTGATGCAGGAAATTATAATGCAACAACTTAAAATGGGTCTTATGGGGTAAACAACCCATCACTAGAAGTTTTGCTTTCTGCCATTTCTGCTTTATCACTAGAGGTGCTCTTCATAGTTAAATAAGAAGGCTTCCTCAACAGGTAAGCAGATTGCAAACCAACATTACAAAGGTAATGGTTCTAGAAGCTCCCGTTTTCTCTAGCATAATCTAGAGATAAAACATTAGAGTAAATTTTGTTACCTATAGGAATTTCAGCAAAAAATTGGTACGGCCAGCAGCTATCTCACTCTGCAGCTCACAACTGGTAACCCACTGAAGCTCAGCAGGTGTGCGCCTGGTCAGTACCTGGATGGGAGACCTCCTGGGGAAAAACTAAGGTTGCTGCTGAAAGAGTTGTTGGTGGGGCCACCAGGGGGTGCTCACCCTGCGGTCCATGTGGGTCCTAATGCCCCAGTATGGTGATGGAGACACTATACTGTAAACAGGCACCGTCCGTTGGATGAGAGGTAAAACCGAGGTCCTGACCCTCTGTGGTCATTAAAAATCCCAGGGCATTTCTCGAAAAGAAAAGGGGTGTCACCCCGGTGTCCTGGCTAAATTTCCCATTGGTCCGTATCAATCATGGCCTCCTAATAATCCCCCTCTATAAATTGGCTTCATTACTCTGCTCTCCTCCCCACTGATAGCTGATGTGTGGTGAGCGGTCTGGCGCACTATGGCTGCTGTCCATCATCCAGGTGGATGCTGCACATTGGTGGTGGTGGAGGGGGTCCCCATTACCTGTAAAGTGCTTTGAGTGGAGTGTCCAGAAAAGTGCTGTAAGTGTAAGCAATTATTATTCTTAAAAAGACAGATTGACAAGGAGTCTGGAGGTCTGCCAAGCTGTGTGACCCCCCCTCCCTGCTGGAGGTCTGCAGAGCAATTACAGATTAACAGTGTATCGATCTGGTGGGTATTTATTTGAAGTGAGCCTGAATCTGCACACACTTGATATCTCACTGACAGGATGGCTGGGGTCTGGCTCAGTCTTGTCCTACTGGCATCTTTCTTCGGGCTCTCTCTGGGCGAACCCTTGTGAGTGTGGATTTCTGTGCAACCTTGGCTCTCTGTTCGTAAGCTTTTTATAACGCTTAATATCTTGGCTGCAGATTCTGGACTGTGGACTGTAGGGCTACCTTTGTCATAGTTTATATTTGCAGACTCTACTGCTTCAAGTTTGTGTTTTCATAAGCGTGTCAGAGTCTTGTGTAATGGGATTTCAGAAGTTCAGTCAAACCCAAATGTGGGTAGAGAAAAGATGTGTTTCAGACAGAGAGTTTTTTCGTGGGGTAACACAGCTGGCTGAGAATGACAGCTGTCTGTAAGGAGGGGGCTGTTTCTACATCCCTTTAATGAGTGGTAGAGTTAGGGAGCTGAATGGGTTGAAGGGAGAGATGTGAAACACATCCCTTAAAATAGAGTTTTTTTCTCTTTGCAGGTACATACTGATGGCTCCAAACCTCTTTCGCCTGGATAGTCCTGAAAATGTGTTCCTTGAGGCACAGGGCACCAGCGATACAATTCATGTGACAATCAAGGCTCTTATGTTCCCTGGCCGACAAAGTCTAAGCGAGACAACTGTGGAATTGAATTCAGCCAACAAACATCAGGCGCTCAAGGCTTTAAAAGTAAGATCAATGTACACTTGCTTCCTCTCAATGTTCATTTGGCATTTCATATCTTTGGCATCTGCCATGGAAACATGTGTAAATGTAAAACACGCCTGTCTCCAGTATCTGATTAAGCAGTTTTAATGATTACAAGCTAATCTTACAGATTGTGAATGTCTCATTGGATTCAAATACATGTCTTTTAGAAACGGGTATGTAGTATGTAGAAACAACTCTTATTTCATGTAGAATGAAATGATATGAAGTATTTCTAAGTAATATGTTTGTGTTCCTGGATCAAACAGCCTGTTACCTGTAACAGGAATGTAGTGAAAGAGGCCCCTCCCTGTGTACCCAGCCACAGGATGACCTAGAGGTCTTTGTGTGTGAGCAAGTGAGGGAGATGAGCTTATCTTTTGGATACGAATCTTTCCCAGGAGTGTCCAGATCCAATACCAATACTCCTTTAAGATGAATGTTTACTGCTGGTGCCTGGATGTCCAGCAGAGGGACATAGAGATAATCCTAAAAGTCACAGCGCATGGTCAGTCATCCAACAAGATGACCAACCAATCAGGGACCTGCAGGGTGTGGGTACCCACTCCACCCTGTACTTCTTGACCAATCAGCAACTATATTTTCCCCAGTTAAAAAAGCGATGCATCACCCCCGCTGTCTGCTGAACTAACCTGGCTGACTGCCAACAGAATCATGTGGCTGCCACACTTGTTGTCCGAACCTTGGGACTTAAACCTTTCCAGAAGCTCCGAGACAGGGGATGAGCCCGTACATAAAGATAGAATTCTGCCTGAAGTCTAGTCTGAAGTGGGACCTTACAACCAGCTAGCTACCACTTGATCATCTGAGCAATACAGGTGGACTTTTTGCCAACAAACCTGAATTGTGCATTATTCAACAGTAGCTGCTGGGCCCGGAGTAAACCTTCTCCCCTTTTTTGCGTTCCTCGCCCCAAATGAGTCCCCACCCTGCATACCTCTAAATGATTTAACTTATTTGGAGCATCTTAACAGGACTTCAGGTGCTGCTTGTCACAAATGGCACGTGAGGACGCTGGCATCACCACATGCCCACGCGCACTCCGCACCGCACATACTGTACTTGGGCACCGATTGACACCACGCTCCTCTCTCCTCAATCCGTCCCTGCTCGCCAGTGAGACGTTTTCTCAGCTAGAGCCACTCAACCCTTCGATCCTGATTTTCTCTCGACCTTTTGAGAACGACCTTGTCTGACGATGTGGATACCGCCGCTTCGTTTTTGGATTTTCGTCCAACCACCTCTCCGGCCACGCACAGGGTCCAGCTCTCGACCTATGTTTGGGCACTACGGACACTACTGATCTGAAAAGACTTGTTAGACCTGCTGCACTGCTTGAAGTATAATTCATACTCTTGTCTGAACGTGTCTGAACTAAATTTCCTGGAAAATGTAGGGGAATGACCTGCCATCTGCACTCACTTGACCAATTGGTTTGGTGCCTGAGAATAGCAGGTCATTCCCCGCAGCTTTTAGGGAAATGGAAAGTCTTGTCTGAACTACATCTTGCCTGAAGCTCCTACCTTCTCACAAGGAGTCACTTTTTTATTAGCAATCATACAAAAACACTAGTTATTCTGCTTATGTTTATCAAAATAAAAAATACCTTTAAGTAGAGTACAGTATGGAAGCAGTCTTTGAAATGGAGGCCACAAGTGAATCCAGATATCTTCAACCCCAAGGAGCTCAGGGAACTGACTTTCCTATCCCTGTCATTGCAATGCTTTTTTTTCTTCTAGATCCCCTCTAAAAATCTTCAAAGGGATACCAATCAATATGCTTATCTGTCAGCCGATTTTAAAGGAAACATAGTAGAATCTGTTGTATTGTTGTCCTTCCAATCTGGGTACGTCTTTGTGCAGACAGACAAACCCATATACAACCCCACTGACACAGGTAAGTTCTGTTCGTTTCCATCCGAATTTAATAATAAAAACTCACTTTCATTCAAGTAATGCAATGATCAAAGTAATACTAGGTCCTAACATTTATAAAGGGCTTTTCATCTCGAAGGTTCCCAAAACTCTTTAACATGAAGGTGAACTTCTGTCTCTTTCTGCTGCAGTGATGTACAGAGCCTTTGTCACCTCAACAGCAGCCACTGCCATCGATAGTTCAGTGACCATCGAGTTTAAGGTGAGGAGTTCAGCAGAGATCTCAAAACATGCAGAAAAAGAAAAAGACGATTTGGATAATCCTGGACATTTAGCACAGTGTCGAATGATTAAGACAGCCTAGTGTTCATTAAACCAAAATGTGTGGTCTAACAGGTGCCAGGCAGAAACTGAGTGCCACTTCTGGGAGAGGTTAAAGGTCATAACTAGGCTAAAGACACAGATGACCTTCTATCCTGAGGAGGGAGAATATATTGCAAGATACATGCTAGTAAAGCTCTTCAGAAAATGATAGACATTTTTTAATCTTTTCAGATCACTAATTACTTTTGGGAGAATAGGAAACATATTCTAACTCCTCTTAAATATCAGTTTGTGTTTTTACTCCACTTATTGCTATATAAGATAAGGCCACTTTATTAGCCCTATACAATCTCTTGCATTTGGAATTTGTCTTTTCGCAGACCCCAGCTTGCTCTCCATGAGACACACAGACAGGGAGAGAAGCTGGGGGTCAGAGCGCAGGGTCAGCCATTTATACAGCACCCCTAGAGCAGTTAGGGTTAAGGGCCTTGCTCAGGGGCCCAATGGAATAGGATTCCTCTGCCTGCCACAGGATTTGAACCGACAGCCTTCCAGCCACAGAGCCACTGCTCTGCCCTTTCATTATTATTTTGTTTAAAGATAAGATCGCTTTTAAGATAAGATCACTTATCATATGGCGGGTAACAGTGGAGTACCCAAAGCTGCTATAGAGATTCTGATTTTGTCTCCTGATTTTGATCACAGAATCCTCAAGGCATTGTGATTAACTCAGTGCTTCATGGGAATGTTAAGAACGGAATTCTCACAACAAACTACAAACTGCCAGAGGTGGTCAAGTAAGTCGTAATTTGGAACTATAATGGATTTCTTTAAAAAGATAAATCTTTGCACAAGTAACTTGTAACTGTAACGGATTACTCTACAAAAGTCATGTCCCTTATGCAACTAAACTTGTAATTATAAAGGATTACCCTATAAAACTCAGTTTAACATATTGAAATTGTAACTGTAATGATACATTTTTAACTGCAATCTGAAGAAAAAATCAGAGATTGGCACAAGAAGTTTGTCTGAATGTTGGTGTTGTTTTGTCTTTGTTTCAGTGAGGGGATCTGGCAGCTGACAGCACAATTGGATACACAAAGCACGTTTATTACTGAATTCCAAGTCAAAGAACATGGTAAGGGGATTCTGACTCCCAGTATGTTGGGCATTTGCAACCCAGACATTTTACAAGAATGCAGTTGGAGCCCTGTCATCCAGACATCATCAGTCTGAGTGCAGGTGATATCATCACTACTATACCTGTAGTGATTAGGATTGTCTAAGTGGCAGCATCTTTAACTGGTCAGGTTTAAGCAGTCTTTGACTCTTGCAATTCCCAGTTTTCTCTTTCTTGAGGCCCTTAGTAGTCCCCGAAGGCTGGTGGATCTCCAAGTTGTTCTCCTAACTCAGCTCTTAATAAGTTCAACTAGTCGTTTTTTGGGGCTTACCTGGACCAGTTTAACTGCTCCTCCAAGACCTTTACGTGCTACTGCTTAGCATACCCACAGATACATCAGATCTCCAGGACTAGACCTAATCCTTCAGGTTACAGTGTTGTAATCAGGTAGCAAACAACCATTAAAATAAAAATCTTTTAAACAGTGCGTAAGGAATTCACATATCTTCCTTTGAGTCAGCAGCACCTGAAGAACAGGGAGAGGCTGTTATGATGGTCCAATTACCACAATAATGAACCAATTCAGGTTCTTCCCACTGGATTAATATCCTGTACAGATACTGGTTCCCCAGGACCAGGATTGGGGTCCCCACTTTTAGTTGGAACTTTACTGGACATTTTGACACTGTGAAAAATTAGGGTAGTTTCTTAGATGGCTGAGAGCGTGTCAGGTTCCTTCACAGTCTGAAAGTCCTAATAAGAAAAACAAATTGGCATTTGCAAATAATCGTAACATCTGATATCAAACTGATCTCGCCACTTCTCTTCTCAGCAGAGATTAACAGAAGGCAAAAATCTACACAGCACAAAAGTTGTTACCTGCAAGCTAAAACACATATTGTACAGACAGGAAGTCTGGTTGTTTCTTGGACTTGTGGGAAAGTCTAATGCCTTCTGCACAAATGAATAAGACACCGCTGCTTGTTTTCAGTGCTGCCACCCTTTGAAGTGATTCTGAACCCCAGAAAGAAGTTCTTCCATATTGATGACAAGAGTCTTGTGGTAGAAATCAGTGCCAGGTGAGTACAGATGACTGCAGTCTGGTCTAGTACATCCACAATCCAGGGTAGAGATCAACCTTTTTTGATACATTATTACTTCTTCTCTTCAGTCAGTGTAGAAGATACAGAGTGTATGCATGCTTGTATATATGGCTATTGTTATTCTCACTCACTCACAACAGACTGCTAGAAGATGAGTCCAGGCAACCATGATGACCAATGTTTCTGCTGCTCCACCTGTCAATCAGTTTAGGACCATAACAACGTGGTAGGAAATCTGTCCTACCTGTCCTCTTTTAAATCAGTACCTACGGGACATTTAAGACGTGTCTTCTCGTTCATAGCCTCTCAGTCTTAGAGAGTCCTGCCTCCAGTTGTCTGGTTTCTCGTTCATCTCTTCTCGGCTATGGGTCTCACTTGTGTTGTGACTTTGCTTTGGATATTCTCTGCACTCAACTTGGTTATTTTCTGGCTTTGGTCTCTTGTGCTTTGGTTACACTCCTGGATATCCTTTGTGTATTCCCACCTCTACTGGCTATGAACTCTTTTCTGACTACGGTTTTGAATCGGGCATTCAGTCAATCTCTGAAACTTCTCCTCTCACCTTAAGGTGCTGCTCTCAGCATTTATTACATCTACCGTTTCAACAATATTAGGCATGCCATCAGTTTTTTCCCTTATTCTTCATTTGGTACTATTTCTTTCAGTTTGTCATTCATTTACTGTCACCATTGTAGTCCCTCCCCCTTAAGCTCCGGCTCTTTCACTTCCGTGTTGATTTTGTGCACCTGCCCCCTGTTCCTGCCTCCCTACGTAAGCCAGACGCCCACTCTCTTCCGGGCTGTGCATTGGTTCCTGTGCCAAGCGAGTCCGGGATCTGGAGCGTCTGGTCCCTTTCACCCTTTTCCCCCTCGACCCTCCACTGGATGCTGCTCCGATTTTTAATCCTGTTGGTCCTCGTCTTTTTGCCTCCTCTTGGATTTCCCATTGGACTCTGTTTAGGATTGTTTGCCCCGGACTCACCCCCCTGAACACCTGCGCACCATGGACACACCCCCTGTTTTCATTTCTGACTCCTGCATGCCCTTTTCCCCGTGTTTTCCTCACTCATCCCCGGATTGTGTCTTCTGCATAGGGTCCGGAAAGAACACTTTCGTTACATTTACAACACTTTAACAAAATTTAAAAATTCAGTGGAATGTGAGTAAATCTAAAGCAGTATGTCAGACCTCCCTTCTAAATTCCTCGGTTTGATCTGTACACAAGACAGGAGAAATCACATGTCCAGCACACACTGCGCATCTCAGCCTATCGTCTGTTCTACAAAAAGCGGATAGAGATCAATCATTGAAATGTATGGAACTCCAGTATGTTTCCTATCATTTTCCACATTTGATTGTTACATGTATGACAGATAAGACCGATATGACAGATGTATGACAAGAACCAAATGCATAAGCTGTTTTTTTTCACTACAACTTTCCCTTGTATTGCAACTACAGTATTTGTACCAATTACCCACATCATTTTATGTGAATCCACATTCTTCAGTCTCAAAGACCTTAAATGGTTTACTTTGGAAATAGCTTCAAAAGCACATCTGATATTGATATGGGATGTCAGCAATACTGATATCAGCAATGTGCTTGCTGTGGGTTTAGTGGATATCAAACTTAATTACTGGTTATTCTAGTTATGTGTATGGAGAGGAGGTGAAGGGCTCAGCCTACGTGGTGTTTGGTTATGAAGACCTTCAGAGAAAACGTCACACCTTCTCTTCCTCACTGCAGAGAGTGGAGGTACGTTTTCACAGTTCTTTGGTTCTGTGGTTTCCATTGTATTTAGTTCTCACTCTTCATATTTACATTGTACGTTACAAATAAGACCAGCTATGCATTCTTGACCTGTCAAGATGTCCAAGAGTTACTTTATTGATTGTTTGAGTAATTACATTCCCTTTTTAGGGCTTTAAAACTCCATAAAAGGCTCAAATTTAAAAGCAGATGATGTTCTTTTTTCTTAAGTGCTTATTTTGTTTTGTAGTTGTCTGTGATCCGATAATGGCCAAGGAATAGGGAATTATTCCACGGAAATAGGATAATGACAGGAGAAACAGCCAGATGTGATTCTTTTTTAGTAAGACATCACGGAACAAAATAACTGAAGCCTGTAAATATTATATATTCGAAAAAAACAATATTGAACCTTAAAATGCAAGGGTTAAATATTGCAGAAGGCAAGTTTGAAAGGAACTGTTAATCAATGGAAGTGTAAATGCTTTGGAGCTGGTGATGCTAATGTCAACATACTGTTACCAGCAGCATATTTTGTATTCTAAAGGTACACACGCATCTCGTAAGGCTCAGAAAAAAAACAATTTTAGTTCCTCAAATACTTGAAGACCTTCTGTGGCCTTTTCCACCCAACAGGTGGAACAGCTGTAAATGTACCCAGCTCCTGCAATGGACTGATCAGATCACATAGATCACACACACACCAAGCAAAGACTGCAGGTGTTCATACCTACTGTTTGTAGAGTGCCAACTGGTAAATCAAAATAATCAACACCTTTTAATATAATGAGAATAAGTCTGTTTGCTTTACGGCAAGCAATCTGACCATTATTAAGGCTTCTGTGTAGAATGCAATGCATTCCTTTATTTTCTTTACTGCCACAGCAATTCATGTCTCATGAGACTATTTCATGCCTACTGTGATGCTCTGTTTATATGTACTGGAGCAGGAGGCACAGCTCCAGTGACTGCTGGAGTTCACCTTCGTACATTAGGTTTGTTGCCTGTGACTGGCCATCTTAGTAAGAGGAGAACTGGAGGACTCTCCCCCTTGCAAGTTGACAATACGAAACGCGTGCTCTTCTCACCGTCCCAGCTAGACACTGGTCCTGATCTTTTATGGCTTCCAAGCATTTACAGTGCCATTTCCCAGATGGCAGGCTCAGTCATACGAGAAACCCAGGTCCTCCGATACAGGAGACTTTTCCATGAAGCATGGCTGTACTTTGCACAGCTCAGGATTCAGTTCCCCAGAGCCAAACAGCACTAATTGGGAATTCCACTTACACCAGAAGGCACACAGACAAATGAAGGCACAGAAGTTCGGATCAACCCCCATGCAGACACCAGAGACAAAATGGCGGAGTTTAAAGGCTTTATTACAGTGCAGAGAGACCACTCTCTTAGTGTAATACCATGGACAGAGTGTTCTCAGCTAAACAAAGATGACAAGAGTTTAGAGGACAACCTCGGCAGGGGTGTGTGCAAAGTTATGTAGTTAGGATTGGCAGAGCTTTAATACTTAGACATTATTCAGCACAATAACGTACAGTATAAAAAAACGACACCCCCTTATTGAAAATTCAGCCTTTGTTGATGTACAGGCTCAAGACCTGTCAGAGTTCAAGACCAATCATGTCAGAGCTTCACATCAACAAAGGCTGAAAGTTCAATAAGGGTGTGTAGACTTTTTATATCCACTGCACAAACAATTGAAGGGTCATTAGGGCATGGAAAAGCAAGCCAGTGAGATTCATGTGACTTAAGATGGGACTCCTGAGTACACTAGAATGCACTGCCCATAATATGACACAAAGGGACTTTACTCCAAGGTCAATAGATTCTGATCAGAGCATTCCAAGTGCCATTGCTTAGGAACTGAGGTAGCAGCCTGTTTCTGTGGCCCTTATGTGCATAGCACGCCATGAGGAGTCTCACTCACAGACCCGTATCAAGCCTGTCTTTCACTCCGAGCTTGTCTTTCCCAGAGAGCGTCACAAGGCTTCACTCAGGAAATTGAAATTTAACCCCAAAAGCCGTAAAAAAGAATGCTCTTGTCTTTGTAGATCTAATCACCTTTTGAATCGCCTCTGAAGGTTCCTGTTCTTTAAAACAGAAAGACAGGTGGCTGTCTTGCAGTTGTAAATATTACTGAAGCTATAGTATGTACAGCATATATAAGGATGCAAGTATAAGATTATGCAGATATCTTAATGCTCACTCCATTTCATGCATTTCTTCAAGCTGGCAGAAGGCACTGCTACATTAACAAAAGAGCATATCACAAAGGAAGTGAAGGACATAAAAGAGATAGTGGAGTGTTCCATCTTTGTGAAAGCCACAGTATTCACAGAAACCGGTGAGTGTTTTCTGTGAATTAAGCCTTTATTAATCCAGTTACTCATGAGACCAAGTGGAATCACTGCAGGGGCTCCTGAGTTGCTGAAGAAACGTTTCCCCCACACTGTGAGAGTTGTGTAGGCCAGAGATATCACTGTGCACCCATACTCAGTCATCTATTCCAGAGTCGCACGAATGTGAGGATGTGGAGAGATGAGTTGTCCGTGCACTCAAGTGTCTGTGTGATTCTAGTTTCTACTGTAAGTGACCAGGTTGAGAACTTTATTTGGAATTGACTTCTGAAATGATCACATTGCACTGCTTACCTTTAATCACATGCAAATGTGCTGTAAGCTTGTAGCATGCCACAGCACGAGAGCTGAGGGACACAGGCAAAGTAGGAATGAATGACCTGCTCCTTTAGGTATATTTGTATCGCTTATAATGGTATCCACTCAATATTTTCTGGCATCCAGCCCGAAGTTGTGTATCTGAAAATGTCTGATGCATCATGTCTCCTTTCCTTCTTTTGTAGGGAGTGACATGGTTCAAGCAGAAAAAACAGGAATCAAAATTGTTACCTCCCCTTACAAAATCCATTTCACCAGGACAATCAAGTACTTCAAGCCTGACATGCCATTTTGGGTCACTGTAAGTTCAGATGTTGTCTACATTAAATCTTTTTACTAGTGTTCAGTAGTACAAGGACAAGTTACTGTCCAAGACACTTAAGATTAAGATTGTAAATCAGATTAAATTAATAACGTATACAATCGCTTTAAAAAGTAATTAAATGGAAATTGGGCCAAAGGGAGCTCATGCTGTTTTGAGAGGAACAACAGCGTCCAAGAGCTCCCTCACCTTCTTCACCTGAACTCATGATCCGCCGTAATATTGTTGACTTGATTTAATCCTTCTTTATCCCTCTTTCCAAGTTGGTCAACTGCTCACTGTGCTGGGTAGTTGCTACTTCCCAGCCAAAGGGTTCTAACATCTCAGTAAACATTCCCAAGCCAAGTTTCTTATTGAGGGTTGTCAGCATAATGCCTTTTTTAAATCATGTTGTTTCAAGTGAATGGTAATTGAACTGGTGTCTGTCCAGGGTGTGTCCTGCCTGTTGTGTTTGTGGCTTTCCATAGGATAGGCTCCGGCTCCCTCATGATCTTAATTGGGATGAACCAGAAAAACAATGGATGGATGGGTGACTCTCTGGCAGGTGGTGCATTTTGGAGGAGCATGTCCCCATGGGACATGGGCAGTTTCAATGTGATCCCAACCTTCTGCTCTGCCCCTTTCCAACTAAAGGTTTACGTGACAAATCCTGATGGGTCCCCAGCTGAAAACATCCCCATCAGGGTGGAACCAGGGTCTAATGAGGAAATCACAGAAAGCAATGGGATGGCCAAAATTTCTGTGAGAATGCAAGAAAGTGACAGGGTTAAAACTATAACCGTGAGTATCTGCTTCTGCCTGAAACCTCTCTATTTCACAGAGTGAGAAAAGCCAAAAAAGCCATAACACAGCAAATGCCAAAGTTGCTCTTTGAGCTGTAACTCAGCCTCCCTTTTTAGAACAGTCAGGCAGGTAAGCTGCTTTCCAGCTCCGAAACAGTTTCTGCCGGAAATCACCAGAAAGCATTATTCAAAACCAAATCTGTTTCTCTCTGAAACCCCTACCTAGTATCTCTCTGAGACTCTTCCAAAACACACCCCCTCCTGTTACGCCACACCCCCGGGGGACTCGTCATTCCACCTCACATTCCAGCACAGTTCCCAATTAGCCCTTTTCCCCAGCCTATTTAATGCTGCCTCACACTCTCCTCTGTGCTCAGTATTAGGGTCTTCCTGGCTAGAGCTACTCCCAGTCTAATTGATATTTACTACTTGGCTTTTGGCTTCCTGACCCTGGTTTGTTCTCCATCTACAGTACGTCTCCCGGTTTCAGTTTTGGTACTTCTGCTCTCATTCTGGTTTTGACTCTCGGCTTCCTTACGGATTACGGCTCCGCCTCTGGTTATTTATACTTTAGCACCGGCTAGTTTACCTACGGGTTTCTGACCTCGGATTGTTCTATCGACTATGCCTTTTGGGGTTTGCCCTGGTTTTCTGCATAGGGTCCTCACTACTAATTCTTAACACCTATTTTGTTTAGTTATTTTATTAATAAGACTATTACAATATTCAAAGGTCTTCTATCAATATGATATCAAACATCTTGAATCAGTAAGAAAACAACTCAGTGTTTCCATAATTCACCCTTGTCTGTGGACTATCAGAGAAAACCACTGTTTGTTTGATTAAAAAAAAGTAGCTCCTAGGGTCCAGTAACTGACAGTTGTTGCCTTGTGTGTCTCAGGTGAAAACCCAGGTTCGAGACCTTCCCGCTGGTCATCAGGCAAAGAATCAGATGACTGCGGAGGCTTACTCTCCTGAGGACCCCAGCTCCAGAAACTATCTGTACATCAATGTGCCAGACACAGAAATACGGCCTGGGAAGAAATTCACTGTGGTCCTGTTGTATTACATTGAGAAAGATGAGCAAGCAAATGCCATTCAGTTCTTATCCTATTTGGTGACTGGCTAGAACTTTTACATTTATTTTTTTATTTAGTTGTTCTGGCTTTTAAATTTGCAATTAGAAGGGTGCAAAATTAAATAGGAATGCACTTTGTAAAATTGGAGAAAACAATAAATTCCAAGACTGTAAGTGCCCTATGTATTGTAGACCTAAGTAAGTTGTACCATTTTGCTGGCTGGCTGGCTGGCACAGCACAGATTATGCTACTAATGATGATGATGATTATTATTGTTGTCATTATGTGTTACAGTTTTTTTCAGTGCTTGTAAGAATAATCAGACAGCTTGTGGCTGTGTGCACCTGTGTAACATTGACAGTGTCCATTGACAGTGAGGAATGAGAAAAACACATATATTTCTTCTCCTACTTGGTTACAGAAGCCATTCCTTCGGTTGTTTTTCCAGGCCTAACATCAAACAGTTCTTAGATTGTTTGATTCTTGATTTATTGATTTCTTGCTTTTACATACGCAAGCGGAATGGTTAAAGAAGCCTCCTGTCATCTTAAATATGAACACTTTGGATCTGTTGGCAGAAAAACACCTAGTTTGTCCTTATAGCCTTCTGTCATCTGTGATCTGTGGTCAGTCTGAAGTTTGTCAGTTCCTGTTTTTGATTCTTATCCTTTTCTGCTGTTCTAATTTGCTCCTCTCCTCCCCCCCCATCTCCCCAGATTCTTAGCAAAGGCAGAATCATTGATAAAGGCCGGGTGGATAAATTGAGTCGGAATTTTGCTGAATTGCAATTAACAATCACAAAAGAAATGATCCCCTCCTTCCGTATAGTGGCTTACTACACCTTACCGCTGGCGTCCAAGGCGGAGATTGTGTCGGATTCAGTTTGGGTGGACGTGACAGATACCTGCATGGGGAAGGTGAGTGCCCATTTTGTCCCACAGCACCTGGGGCACGAACCCAGGTCTCTGGCGTAACGCAACAGGGAACCAGCAGCATGAGCTAATGGAGAGCCCCCCCCAGCCCAGCCAGCGGAGGTCCCTGCTATGCGCAGCGAGGGCACTGACATCACCGTATCCTGACTAGCTCCGCTACACTCCCCCTGCTGACTTCGCCTTGGCAAAGGACACTAATGTGACCGTTGCAGTTCCGCGCGGGCTCGAGCCCTCCGCCACCCCATTCCGTCCCGCAGCACCTGGGGCACGAACCCGGGTCTCTGGTGTAACGCAACAGGGAACTAGCTGCATTAGCTAAAGGAGACCTCCCTCAGCCCAGGCAGCTGAGGTCCCTGTTACACGCAGGGAGGGCAATGACGTCACCATGTCCAAACTAGCTCCGCTACACCTGCACGAAAAGTTTCTTCGTATTCTCTTCAATTGCTTTGAATTCAGGATCTTCTTGGTCCAGAAGGCTTGGCTTTCCTGACAGCCTGATGATCAGAAAGTGTGACCCGGCTCTGTCTTCTGTTCTGCAGCTCGTGGTGTCTTTGAAAGACAAGCATCAAGAGTACAGACCCGGAGACAGTTTGAACCTGAAGGTGAACGGGGACCCTGGTGCCATAGTTGGCCTGGTTGCAGTAGACAAGGCAGTCTTTCTTTTGAACAACAAGAACAAGCTCACTCAAACCAAGGTATTTTGCTCCTTGCATGAGAAACAGATCTGAGAAAGAGGCTTGTCTGATTTTCCTTTTCATTAAGAACGGGCCTTTAATGGGGGACGAATGTAATGTGACGCTGGTCAACATTGAACCATTGGACAGAATTGTCCAACCACCTCCTTTGTTGGCCTATTGCTCAGTAGTTATGACTTGTACTGTAATGATGTGTAGGTCAGGACCCTATGCAGACAGCATAATCTGGAAGTAAGTGAAACAGACAAACGGGGGGGGTGTGGCGAAGGTGCACTGGTGCTGGTGGGGTGGCCATGGTGATAAAAATCCGGTACTGGGATAAAAACGGGGGTGACGAGGCCAGGCGCTCTGAGCTCCGGACTCAGCAGGGTCAGGACGCCGATAGGAGGCCTATGCCCTCAAGCCGCTGATGTAGGGCTACTAGGTGGTAGGTGGGCCTCCAGGCTCTCACATTAATCCCATTGTGCTGCATTGACAGTTGCATTGCCTGTACCATGTCTGACCAGTTCTGAAACTACACTTAACATTTACAGTGGGGAACATTTAACCTGAGCCCTGGGGAGCCCCAGCCAGTATGTATTTTGGTCAGCCTCTTTTACTTTGGAAGATAAGTATTACCTGTGAGTTACTGGTCAATTAAATAAGCGATCTGTTGCATAACATATAAATGGAATGTTTCAAATAGCAAGTGCAAGGGAACCCAAGCGTGTCTGAGGGTTGAAAAGTAGGCAGGTACTTTACCTGCATATTGCTACATCGATAAAAATCATCCTGCAGGATTGATCGCAAATTTAATTGTTCAAAGCGTTTAGGAACTGATGATCTAACAATGGCCCACAAAACAAGCCTGGATTAAGAACTTACAAGACTGCAGATCAGGATCTCTAAATTTTAGAAAGATAATGACCATTTTACAGACCCAACCTCTCTGTCTTTCTGGTAGATCTGGGATGAGGTTGAGAAAAAAGACATAGGCTGCACCCCAGGTGGAGGAAAGAACAGCATGGGAGTTTTCACTGATGCTGGGCTGCTGTTCAAATCGAACACTGGAGGAATGACCACCACTAGGCAAGGTAGAGAGAATCAGTGCAAATCTGAAATCTCTGATGTAATTATTCCATTGGTAGATCCAACAGGATGAATATATCTGTTACACTACTAACACTTTCTGTGTGCGTGACCATATGTGGGGATGAATTGGAAACCAGAAAAACAAGGCCCTCCTTTATCCACGTGGCTACTAACTACACAACAGACTACATGAACCAAGTAGCCTTATGGGGTATTCTTTTTTTTTGGGTGGGTGGGTGATTCTGTGGGACTCTCATTTAGAATAGGCTTGAATCGAGGAAATATAAATATATATTTTGTTATAAACAAAATAAACAGAGGTGGGCACATACTTCTCTGACAATACAGATACTGTTACTTAAAACTGCCAAAATGTCAGTGGAAAGTGAGTATTATCTTTCTGGTTTTTACCTCCACAGATCTCAAATGTCCCTCTGATGCTGTGCGAAAGGTCCGATCTCTTCTTCTGACCGAAGACAAGGTTAAATTGGGTGAGTGGTGTCCCCTCCTAAAGGTATCCAGTAAACTTAAAGAGGGTCAGCGGTGTCCAATCATTGATTGCAAGGTTCAATCTCTTCTGTGCCTTACCTTTATACAAACATTTTTTAACCTGTTTTGTGAGACAGCAGCATCAGCTTTGTTCCATGGAATAACAAACAAGGCTTTTTTCGACAATCCACGCTACCCATTTCAGTCTCCTTCTGCTTTTACCATATTGAAAAATACTTTGTTTTGTCTGTCTTTCGGACATTAAGCCGAGGTCCTGACTCTCAGTGGTCATTAAAGATCCCCGGGCATTTTTCAAGAAGAGTATGGAGTTATCCCGGTGTCCGGGCCAAATTTCCCCCCTCGGCCTTTACTGTGGCCTCCCAATTGTCCACATGTATGATTGGCTGGCACTTGGCCTGCGATGGACTGGTGACCAGTCCATGGTGTACCCTGCCTTGCGCTCATTGCCAGGTAGGCTCCGGCTTCCCCTGACACCATATGGTATTAAGCGGTTTGGCAAGTCACATGACATGACTTTGTTTTGTACGTGAGCTCATGACTTTATTGTCTGAAAAGTGCATCCAAGACAGTTGCACATCCACGAAGAACAAAAGTCATAGTACAGGAGTTGCAGGACTTCTAGGGATATTTTTGTCCCTGTTTTGCTATAAAATGGGATGATCTCTTATGATGTAAGATAGTGGTTACAAAATTTGGATGGCATTGGCACTGAAACAACGACACTGGAAAAAATCAAAGTAGCAGGTACAGTTTTACCTCTGCAGAAAAAGAGTCCTATGATTGGTCGTTATCCTACTTTTTTAAATTGTGCAACATTTCCCCTTTGGCGTAGCTTCTAGAGTGAAGTTAATTCCACTGGTAGTGAATGGGGTTGAAATCAGTTGTGTGACATTAACGGGACGAGCCGATTGTTGGCCCTTTGAATCCTTTAACATTTACACCCTTCTGATGGTAGTATTTGAAGGAGTCGACCAACCGGCCATCTTGTGCTCATGACACGTCGTGTTTCCCTTCATCTCTTTTCAGCATGGAATAAACCTTTATCTTGCGCTCATGCTTTCCAGAGAGCCAGATCCAGGACGAGCAGCTCAAGATCTGCTGCCGGGATGGGATGAAGGACATCCCCATGGATTACTCCTGTGAGCGGAGATCGCGGTTCATCACGGAAGGACCGGAGTGCGCCAAAGTGTTCTTGCGCTGCTGCACCGAGATCGCCAACAAGAAGAAGCAACTCTCTTCCAGCCTGGTGCTGTCTCGCAGTGAGTTCATCGGCTCATTGCTACAGAGAAAATCTAGCATTCCTTCTGATGTCACTTACCTGGGGGACTGTATTAGAAATAATCGGCTGTTCCAAATAGACAACAGATATTATGTACAGTAGAGACTTATAATAGAAGAGACAATACAGTTTCTCATCCTTTGTTTTTGTGGCAGGTGCTAAAGAGCTCTTAAGTGAAGATGACATCCGAGTACGTACAAAATTTCCTGAAAGCTGGCTGTGGCAGGATTTCGTTCTGCCAGCTGAAGGAGATGCCACAGGGTACATTATGGGTTTATGGGGGTGGATGTTGTGAAAGAGCAAGTTTTTTCTCTTGTCCTGGGTGTCACCCCAGTTGTGTCTTCAGTCTGTATGAAGGAGACTGTGCCTGAGTTTTCCAGATTCTAAGTGTAAGATGTGTCTGAGAAAATAAAGCATTGCATAGCTGACTATGTTCTTTATCACTCTCTGCTCCCTTAAGCTCTTTAGACATTCTGACAGCTCTTCCTGACACGATTACAGACTGGGAGGTCCTGGCCATCAGCTCATCACCCATCACAGGTAAAGGCTTTTATTAGCCCAACTGTAGTGTCCCGTGAAAGATACTTGCTATGGTTATTCTCCCAGCAAAGATATCAGCAGTAGTCAATCTCCTGTCATAATATTTTTATGTTGGCTTTGGGGTGGGATACCCTGGATTGTCTCAGGTACCAAGAACTAATTTGATCTCTTTCAGGTATGTTTTTCCCTCTGAGAACAATATTGAAATGTATAACCCTTGATCGCACCCATCCCCCCATTTACAAACAGAATTTGTGCCTTAAAAACTGTCTGGAAGGTCAAAAAACACAGACTTTCGTAGAATAAAAATGCTATTCCCATTACTTACGTATAACAGATTTAAATTCATTCCTCAGGTCTAGAAAATCATCCAAGATTATATACTGTATTTGGATGTCACAAGAGAACTGTCACAATTGTAAGATCAAGTAGAGTCAAAGTAAGATCATGATTACTTATTTTAATAATTATACCATGTACCCTAGTAAAGTGATTAAGAATATAAACAAAAAGATAAAATATGAAAAAATATTCTAAGAATGCCAACCCAGTGAAGATTCTATGGAAGCCAGGGAGTTAAAAAAAAAACACTCTATGGTATCTCACAATTGCAACTTAAAATCTCAGAATTACAACTTTTTGATTTTTGAGATTGACAATTGAGAAGTCACAATTGTGAGATATAAACTCGTAATTGCGATATATGAAGTTGTAATTCTGAGATTTTAAGTCACAATTGAGAGATACAAACTCGGAACTCTGAGATACAATGTCGCAATTGCGAGATACCAAAGAGCATTTTTTTTACTCCCTGGCGGAAACAGGCTTACATAATGATCGGTGCTGTCAGAGACAATGTTATTTATTTTTGTCACGGACGTCCAAAGGGACTAACCGTGGGGAGCAGGAGAGCGGAAAAAGACCCATATGCGTAGCGGCGAGACGGGAAAAAGGCCCGGGCTCATTAGTGCAAAGAGTTCAGGAATGCCGTATAGAAACCTATGCCCTCAGGGAGCGGACGTGGGGCGCCCTGGTGCTAGGCGGGTCTCAGGACATCCGAACGTCAATGCTGAGCGAGGACAGAGTGCAAGACCCGGAAATATATAGCCCAAGGAAGAGAGAGGGACAGGTAGGACAGCAGACCGGAAACTAGGGAAAGGACAGAGAAGGAGCGCCCTCTGGCTGCAGAGGGCGTGACAATTTTCCCTTGCTTCTTACTTCCCATATTTTCCCTAGTACAGTGATTAACAAAATAATTAGACAAGCTCAAATGCGCAAAATATTAAGATCACAGATGCAAAGAGGATGGCAAGAATAGTGGCAAAAATCTCTTCATAACAGCAAAAACAGATTGGAAACACAAGACGTGTAGAGTAAAGTCATAAATCAAGTGCTTCTAAAACAAGAGATGATTGTACTGCCTGCAGTGCACACTAGACCAGAGTCCAGAGAGTGTTGCAGAGGGTTGCCAAAGTGGTCAATGAGAAACCCTCTAGTGTCACAGGCATCTGGTTCATCCTGTTGTCCGGGCCAAGGTGCAGAGGCGATTCAGAAGAGCACTGAAAATGGGAGCTGGAGTTAGCTCAAATGGTGGCACTTACAGTAGATAAAAATAAAATGTGTTTCCCTAGGTTTTAATGAAACAGAATAGAATAATTCTATGGTAGGCATTGACAGAACAAATCTAATATTTGTCCCAATCCCTCTGCACTGCGTTTAGATTACGAATGTAAGCACTGTCCAAGTAAACAGGCCATTTCAGACTGTATGTCCTCACTGTCCCGACAGGCGTCTGCGTGTCCAGTCCCCTCCCCATTAGAGTGAAAATGAATTTCTTTGTGGACCTGCGTCTGCCCTACGCAGTGATAAGAAATGAACAAGTGGAGATCAAAGCAGTTCTGTACAACTATGACACTAAGCCTATAAAGGTAAGTTTCTCTCTCAAGTTGCATTTGAGGTTTCTCATACTCAACTTCAACAGTGTTCCAGCTCATGCCAGTACATTAGCAAGACTCAATCATATTTCATGACAACGCCCAAGATCAAAGCGTGATGAACTATTGAATTATTATGGAGCAGATATTGGCTTAACCCGCTTAGCTGAGGGCCGACCGCCTGGCCAGAGGACAAGGAAGCCAGGACCCCCATGCAGGGGAACCAAGGGTCAGCTGCAGAGGTGGAGCTGGGGTGGAGCTGGGATGCAAAAGACCTATGCGAGGGAGAGTAGGAAATCACGTTGGTATTTATAGCGTGTGATCGAGGAAGGATGACGGGAGCAATTGCTAATTACTGACAGCTGGGTATGATTGAGCGCGGTTCCCGAACTTTCGTTATAAACTACATTTAGTAAGAGGTGATGAGGGAGATGGAAGTGCAGAATCAGTTTTCCAGTTACAAAGAGCTTGCTGGCTACCATTTTACACAGTAATCTAGGATCCCCTGAAGGGCACACTATGATACCCAGAGGTGGAGTCTACAGGGACCTGGTTCAAAGTGTCAGTTGTTTTCTCAGGTGTGACCTGAGCTCTGGGCTTCTCATACTGTAAGTCCGACCTCCGTTCGATTGCTCTGAGATGTTAGACCTGAGCCTTTTGACATCCTTCTGTGGCAGATGTTTGAGTGAAGAGTGCCAGGATAACTTAAAGTTAATTTACTGTGTTTACCTAAAAAAACATGTGTTTGAGAACTGTAAATTTCAACCGTATAAAAGATGTAGTTTTTCCTCTTTATAAAAATAATAATTGAGTTCGCACCCCCCCCCCCAAAAATCTTATAATAGATTAAAACCAAATTGTTTTGAGATCAGCTTATCTTGTCATTACGACCAATTTATCTCATAATTACGAGAAAATTATCTCGTAATTAGTAAATAGTAAATTCTCGTGTACTTTATGTGATCATGTGATAGTACAATTGTCATACTGTAGAGAGCATGAAAATATTCAAACAGAACCACATTAAGGACATTAAAGCACATGGGAAGTTGCATTAGTTGCTGCTTGACTTGGAACTAAGAGAGGCTTGAATCACTAACCCAAGACCTGCTTTGGTGCTACCTCCAGTCCTTGAGGAATCTTGGTCCCAATCATCTATAATGGTGACATGATGATTCAAACTACAATGCCAGACTTGTGGATAGAGCCCAAACTGAATTCAGAAGAAACGTTTTTGCAAGGCTCATGTTGTTTTAAGTGGTCTCGTCATTCATTTTCGGTAGGAATAGGATTTTGGTTGGTTTTCACCACAATGGAACGCTTTCCGAAAATGGAAAACTCTTCCTCATCTCCGTTGTGCTCAACATAAACATGCTCTTCTAAAGCCTTAGCAGAGATGGTACACAATGAACCAGTACATGGACGTTTTCTTCTCCAAAGTCAAATGTAGAAATGCTCAGCTGACTTCATGACGGCCAGAAGTGATCAAAAGGGGATCTTTGAAATGTGAATAAACACATTTTGTGCATTTCAGATTTGATAAAGACAATGAGGCTTTATTTGCTGGAGAGTAATGTCATGTCATTTACCAAACCACTTTATACCATATGGTGTCACGGGAAGCAGGAACCTACCCGGCAAACAACGAGCACAAGGCATGGTACACCCTGGACAGGACGCCAGTCCACCGCAGGGCAAGTGCCAGCCAATCATACATGGGGACAATCGAGGTCACGGTAAAGGCTGATGGGGGAAATTTGGCCCAGACACTAGGATAACTCCCTACTCTTCACGAGAAATGCCCGGGGATATTTAATGACCGCTGAGAGTCAGGACCTCGGTTTAACGTCTCATCTGAAAGACCGTTGCTGGAGAGAATGTTATTGTATTGTCATTCAATGTACTGTAATCACTTTCTATTCATCATCAGTGAAAAATGTATCAATGCTCTTCTGCTCTCTAGGTCCGAGTGGAGCTGATGAAATCTCATGAAATCTGCAGCATGGCCAGCTACACAGGGAGATTCCGACAGGACATCTCTATAGAGGAAAAGTCATCTCGGTTGGTTCCCTTCACCATCATTCCTCTGGCTTTGGGAGAGCCGGAGATCGAAGTGAGGGCCAACGTCTATGGTCAGTTAGTCGGAGATGCAGTGAGAAAGAAGCTGAGAGTTCTGGTGAGTGTGACGGCCCAGGAAAAGTGAATTTTTATAGTTGGGGATCCCCACTGATTTTTCTCTGTCAATGAGAAGAGAGAACAAATCAGGAAAATATTAAAATTACACTTAGATTACCAACATTTCAGCCTTTTGCAATCCCATGCTTCTTAGAAATGGGGGGAAATGGGAAATTGTCATATCTACAGTAGATCTACAGAAGCCTTTTGGGAAAAAGAGCAAACACAATCTCAGTAGAACAGCTAAGGTTATCTTCGTACTAATCGCAGTAGTTAGCAGTACTGAGTAAAGTACTGAGTAGGGGTAGATCAAACTGTGCAGTAACATTTCAGATTTCTTAAATATCAATGCTAGTTAGTTAGCCAAGGAGAGGTGAATACTTTTCCTTTGGGTTTATTTTTTTCTCTGGTAATGATTTTGGATTCATTTTAAATTCTAAAACAGAACAAGGAAAAAATCAATGAATTAAACTGCTGCATTAATAAAGGTGTATGCAACATTTCAGCCTTCTGCTACCCCACATGTCTTAGAAATGGGGGGAACTGGAAATGGTATTTTCTAGGTCTATAGAAATTCCTAGGGAATAAAGTTCCCCACACAATCTCAATAGAACAGCTAAGTTTATTTTAGGATTAATATTGACCTTTCACATTTAGCATATTTCGGGGGTAAGCAAAATTGTGTAGTAACACTTCTAATTACAAAATTGAACTTCTAGTGGTCAGCCATCTTTGGTTATCCCACATCATTTATTTTTTCACCTATTTTATGTTTGGAAAAAACTATCAGTCCCTCTTATGCACATTGCAGTCACTTCAGCGTGTGCTCTGAAATAGCTTACTGTACAGCAGATCAATCAATCAATCAATCAAAGTTTATTGATCAAATGCACAACAATGCAGCGTGCAGCAGTAGTTGCTGGCAGTGAGATGTCTTTTCTACAAGATCACCATGGGGTGAAATCACAAACTTAAAGTTACAAAATTAAGGTTACATAATAATACATAATAGTGCAATAGAAATTGAATAAAATAAACTCAGACAGAGCGCAATATAAATAGAGCTACTATGTGTCCAGGGTGTATACAATACACTATATTATGTCCA